GAGAGAGAGAGAGAGAGAGAGAGAGAGAGAGAGCTTGTGATCAACTGACGGACCGATTGATAGACAGGGGGGAAAAAAGACTGTCGAATAAGGACTGTTTATTTCTTTCAGAAGTTTATGTTATAGTTTCTGGCAAAATGCGATAGGGGTGCCAATATGGAAGAAAAAAGGGCAGCAAGAAAGACTGCAACACCTATAGAGGCATATCTCTTCTCAGCCATGCGGGGAAAATGTATGCAAAGGTCAAAGAGCTACGCACTCGCGCAAAAGCCGAACCACTCGCCTTGCTGCAGACAGACGCCTGTGTCTCCCCGCGACACCCCCCGGTACAGAAAATTATCGAACAGACAGGAGAAATAATTTTTCTCTCAAGATACTAAAAGAATTAATTATGATAAGAAATGGTGAGAGACAAATTTTATTTAATTTAAGACAATGATAGCATGATTCTAGGCTAGTGCCATAACTAGCTTTATGTGTAAGACTGAAAGTGAATGGCCTTTGCATACATGAACAGTGAACAAAAGAGAGTTGATGTCAGCTTTATCTGATTGCTAATAATTTGTCTTGGTTTATTAACTCTTTCCGGACGTATCGCCAATATATCCACGCGAGTCCACACCCTTTGTGGACGTATCGCCAATATATCGGCTACGATGGGGTGCCTCAGTTTTGTTTCATTTTAAAATGATCCACTATTTATACGCACTTTTTATTGTTATTGAAAACTTGGAAAGAGTTTAGGAAACTAAAAAAATCTAGTTTCACTTTGTCAAAACGTCGGTGTGGCGAAATACGATTGAATTAGTTCTTGCGGTCTTGCATCAACAAAATGATCTAACTGGACTCAGTATAAATATCATTACTCAAACAAAAATTTGAATATTGCATTCAAATAAAAAGCTGCACATTCAGAAATTTATGGAGTCTGCTCTTGGCCTGTATATGATAAGATAACAATGCAGATTTACTTTCACATGTTTAGTGTGTGTAAATTTTTCCATCACAATGTATTTTTCTCACCACCATCGCCATTTCTAACCCTTTTAATGCATACTTATGTCCAAAATTAATCCTTGTTTCATGTTGGAATGTATTCTCCTTTCAATTTCCTTCAATTTAATATATCATATGTTACGTTTTGAGTGATGTTTATGCTTCTATGAAGTTATTTTGTACATTCCCTGTATAGCTGAATCAAGTCACAGGTTAATGGACGTCAAGACCCCAATGCAACTACGTCCGGAAAGAGTTAATAATATTATTGACCATAATGATTTTGTTTCCTGTTTTTCACAAAGTGGAGCCCCCAGTAAATCATCATTGTGTTGTGGACACACAAACAGATACAATATGCACGCACGCACGCACACTCACACACACACACAGACACACACAGACAGAGAGAGAGAAAGACACACACACCCACACACACACACACACACACACACACACACACACACACACACACCCACACACACATACACACACACACATACATACACACACATACCCACGCACACACACATATACACACACAGACACACACACACACACACACACACACATAATCCACTTCTCCGTCTTACCAACATGGGCCCCCACTCAGAAATCACAGTTCAATGTGACCCCGTCTGAAGCGGCCTTGTTAGCCCTACCTACCAAATTGTGCCTTGTAAGCTCAGGTGGTAGGCTCATAATGAGGTGTTCGGAGAAATGAAAAGTGTCAAACAGTTCATACCCTAGCGTTAGGTACTTAGGTCTTGGGCAAACGTTGTACTTCTCATTGAGGTTTAGAGCGGAGATGTGATCGCATATGCATGATCTATGAAGCAAAGTATGATCTGAAATGAGGGAACTTAACGTATTTCGTCCCTTCAGACTTCAGAGTGGGATCTTAGGGGTGATTTTTGTGTGTACTAAAATTGTTATTTTATTTTGTTGTTGTTTTTTTAACAATGAAATCTTAAATGAACTGGGATCATAAAGGGTGGGATCTTATGTGGAAACTACTATAACAGATTTAAACCAGGTAGAGTTCTATTAACCCTATCCGTACATCGTGTTTTACTATCCTATCCATACGACGGGGGAAACTCTGTGCCACCACTTCCCAGAGAGGAAATTTACTCTTTAATCCGATCCGTACGCTTTACATAGCAGTCTGTCAAAAACTTTTTTGAGAAATACTGAAAGTTTCAAAGAGATCTTCGTACTAGAAGTTATCTAAAATGTGAAGAATACAACCGAGGGGGTGCAAAATGACCCTAGGGTGTATGGATAGGGTTAAAGGAGACCCTAACTCTTATCCAACCCAACCCACTTTGCTTTACCTGATATGGTTTGGTGTCGTTTTTAATACACTTTCTTTGAGGGAGAAGTTATTCATCAATTTTGTTAGTCAAGTACTGATTTAATTTTATTTTAAAAATATGGAGCCCTTAGATATCTACGCTTAGACAACAGTAATAGTAATAAGATGAATGGATTTAAAAACATAAGATAAGTCTGATTGACCGATTGAGCTCAATAAGCTTAGGTGTGTCTGATTAGTATGAAAACAAGATATATATATATATATATATATATATATATATATATATATATATAGAGAGAGAGAGAGAGAGAGAGAGAGAGAGAGAGAGAGAGAGAGAGAGAGAGAGAGAGAGAGAGAGAGAGAGAGAGAGAGAGAGAGAGAGAGAGAGAGAGAGAGAGAGAGAGAGAGAGAGAGAGAGAGAAACTTACACTCTAGACCTTGTCCCGCCAAGATACAAATTTGCATAGCGCACACAATGGAAAGCCATCTGCCTATTTAAAAGTTGTTTAAATCAAGTATCTCGGTCTTTCTGCTGGGGTGTTGAACACTTAAACACTGCACAGGTGTAAGGTATTTTTACTAACTCACCTGCCTAATCTCAAGAACCTCAGAATAAAACCTGTGGGCGCTGCTGCCCTATCATCTAACAGCACACACCACAGGACACTTCATCCCGAAGCCTTTATTTTCTCTGTGGAGGCCACTGCCATTGACATGGCTCTGGACTCCGTAGAAAATTCCCCAACAAATCTTTCCTTCTCTTTTCTGACTCTCTGTCTTGCATCACTTCACTTACAAACTACACACTTTTATACCCCAAAATAGTTAGGTAACAACAAAAAGTACACTCTTTGACTGAAATCAGGGGAAATATTGTGTTAGCATGGCTACTTAAGAAATGAGTAGGTGGATCTCCTGGAGAAGGAATCCTAGTCCCTTCTGCTGGGATCAATGACAGAGACTCTCCCACAGACTGACTTTAAAAATAAAGTAAAAAAGTACACCTCCAGTCTGTGAGAGACACATTGGGAGAAACAAATTAATAACGAACTCCACAACATCATGCTCAAATTATGTCCAAGAAAACCTTCGGGCCTCTTCTGAAGAAACAAAGTCATTTTTACTCAATTACGCACAGAACACACTTCCCTGACCCACAAACATCTCCTTCAGAGAGATGAGAAACCGTTCGGATGCGACACAGATTTTACCATAAGACCCGTCTTAACAAAATGTCCAGACTTCGGAGAGATCCGAGGGTACTAATTTAAATGCAAAAAATTGCCAGATTTGTTGTCTGTCGTGGATCCCTGAAGAATTCTTGATTTTATAAAGGCCATTGATCTTTACGGTAAATTGTAAATAACACTGTTAAAATTTGAAAAGTTGTTTTACACCACGGAATTTTTTAACCTTGAATTTTTAGCATTTTAAATTGAAATATTGACCAGAATCAAGCTGTGCAGTGAACTTTTGTGAATGCCACTAACTTGTGTTTCGCGCGCTCATATGACCTTATGCAGTTGCGAGCGCCGTAAAACCCTTACTATACTAAAACTAAACAAAACCTTTTTGCCCATAATATATAGCTTTCAGTGCAAAAATTGGACAGTGCACAGTGCCAGTTGCCCACAGTTTCGCTACGAGAGAGGGCTTCTATCAGGCATGGGTTGCCTCCCACAGAGTAGCCTCCATTACTATAAATAACCTCCTTGATCATGCTCCTCTTTGATGTCTGGGTCACTTTTGAATTCACTTTGTGTATCTCCTCAGACAATACTCATCATACCTGACAGACGGTTGTTGGAGTCCTATCCGGCCAGCAGTATTCTTCATCACAAAAATGGATGGCACTCTGGATGTTTGGGACATCATTTTCAAGCAGAATAACCCAACCTTGACATTACAGGTGTGTAAAAAATAGAATTGGTCTTTCTTGTTTTTACACCAGAAAATTTTTGCCAATATTATTATAGTTTGGTTTCTCTGCAATGTATATATTATATATATGCAGGTGAAAGTTGACAGGTTGAAGCTAGGATTTACTCAAAGGTATTATTGGAATGAAGCTGCATTTGTTTTTGCTTTGGACACTAAAAAGAACTTTTAGAATGTTATGTGTCACGGTGCGGGGCGAATCAGGCGCTTGGCAATTTTTGGACATCTGGAGTTACAGTAGTCTCTGCCTAAACGCACGGTGCTCGGGAGGGCTCCTTAGCGTGTGTTTATACGGAGCGTGCGTTTACATGAACCTTTGCAAGGGGAGGAAGGGACGCAGTCATCTCATTGCCTTGATATTCTAGTGACCTCCCTTTGGGGTAGGGGTCACTTTGGGCTGATAATGTGACGACACGTGACTGTTTTGTGAAGGATTCCCCGACAGAGTTTAAGAATACAACGGCGTTGAAAGGGGTGGGGGGGGGGGGGGGGAGAAAGACAAACTCAATGTAATGAATCTGCACTATAAACGTCGGGAACAGACAGCCTAAGAGGAAACTGTTGGATATAGTCATAGATCTAGTCATAGAGACGACAGACCAGCCACGTGGCTTTCCAAGCGACTTCCCCCGACCGTAAATTCATTCTGAATCATCCTCGAGAAACATTTTCTCTTGTGATTCGTTGAACAAGTACGTTATAAGTTCTTCGAGCGCAGCTTATTAGGCTTATTTGGCTAATCTTTATTCCTATAGAGGCCTGTCTAGTGTTTTACGGCATTTACGCATGTCGCGCATCAGGCCAAGATCCTAGATCTAACTAAACATTACACGCAGTCACTCAAACTCAAACACCAGTCAGAAACCTTCTATCAAAGATACATTTCCAACGACCAATCAAAAAACATTTCAGCCCCCCCACACTCACACACACATTTAACCGACCAGCCCTAGACCGAGACCTGTGCGTCAGTGGAAAGTAGGGTGTGTAAACGCAGTCCATCACTCTCTTTGTACGGCGGGAGGGGCACTCTGACCAAATATCCGGTTTTCTGGTAAATTCTAGGCTGTGCAGGTTGTAGTGGAAATTTTCCCTTGCCAAGCTTAACTTGTCGGCGTGTGTCGCGGATCGGAGCGTGCGTTTAGAGGGAGTGACCGTGCGTTTGTACGTCTAAATTATATAATTAAACCCCGTCAGATGACGAAAGCGTGCGTTTAGAGGGAGTGACCGTGCATTTGTACGTCTAAATTATATAATTAAAAACCCCGTCAGATGACGAAAGCGTGCGTTTAGAGGGAGTGACCGTGCGTTTGTACGTCTAAATTATATAGTAAAAACGCCGTCAGATGACGAAAGCGTGCATTTGAGCGGGGCGTGCGTTTATGCGGAGACTACTGTATTGGTATCATCTTAAGGCTTGGTCATTTGTCTTTCTTTTGATGAAAAAATACTCATCTATTATAAATAAAAGTCTAGATATTTGTGATTGAAAGAAGTGAGGGTCGCCTGGTTTAAGATGTAAAATAAGTGAGAAAATAGTCTTTATAAGTGATTCCCAAAGCTTTAGTGTCCTTGGACACTGCAAAATTACGTTTTTGTGCCACTGATCAACATTTCTTAGTAAAATCTACACAGAAATGTGTTTTAAAATGGACATAAAAGGTATTGGACCAAAAAACTGCTAAAATAAATTAAATAAATAAATAAAAATTGCTAAATGAGCTGGAAAATGCCAGTTTCTTCGATTTCATTATTTTGACGAGTGCCTGATTTCACCAAGCTGCCTCACATACCTTTGATAACTTTGAGAGGGTGGAAAGTGGTGCAATATGAAAACCAGATGAAGGAAAAAAGCCCGGAACCATGTCAAGACTTACTGGATAATGTGTTTTTCCTTCTAGGCTACTTCCATTGAATATCTAAAGAAGCCCCTTTTTGATGAGGCAGATGTGTTGTTGTACTTCCTGTAATAAAAATTATATTTCCAGTGATTTAAGTAGTAGAAACTTCTCTCCACCCTGCCTTCCCCCCACCCCCACCCCCTCAACTTGAAGAAAAAAATTGTTTCATGCTCCAGAGTGTGAAGTCATTATACATGCTATTCGAATATCATGTGTGAATAATTTTTGCTACATGCTACATTCAGGTGTTATATGTATTCACTATTATTCACAGTGCAATAAATTGGACGTATGATTTTCTGGCACACATGCAGTGCAATATGATAGTGTCAGATCACCTTTCATAACACTTTGAATTTCAAAAGGGGGAAGAGAAACTGATTTCAACAGCCTACTTTTATTTCTTGGAAAAACATTCATTGAACATCACAAGTCAAGTGCCCTTGAGCTATTCATGCGACTAGTGAATATTATTGAATAGAAGTGAATAGATCTACTTCTTAGTGGCACATTTTATTACTCTTGTTGGTTTCACCTATCTCTCTGTCTCGTAATCATCAAGTACAAAGTATTGCTGTATTTACCTCAATAGTTTTAGATGTACTATGCTTTAATTTGACAAAGGATTGAAAAAAAATGAGAGAAAACTCCATTATCTGCAAAAATCACTGGCCATTTGAATGGCTATGCCATGCTTTGAATAGCTGTGAGTAGTGGGAAAATTGTGAATGGGCACAATTTTGCTTGCAACTTCATAAGATCATATGAGCTCCTTGGACACGTGAAATTTCCACGTTAGTTCACTGCGTGGCCTGGTTTTTCTTTGCAATGTTGAAATAGTTGAAGTATTTAAAAATACTTGGCAAAAAATAGTTTTAAAAGTAGTAATTAATATGTTTAAAATAACAATATTTATATTTTACTGTAGAGGCCAATGGTGTTTATAAAATCAAGAGCTCTCTTGGAACCAACGATGGAGAATAAATTTTAAACATAAGTGCATTTTAAAAAATTTCTGCGGGTTTTTCCAGAGTCTGGACCCTGTATTAGAATGTGCCGAATTGTTACACTGGCATTGCAGCAGACACAAAATGATTTTTTATCTCCAAGCAGGAGGTATTGCTATGTCAGAGAGGATTTTGTGGGCCCAAGTTGGGCATGACATGGTGGAGTTTATTGTTAATTTGTTTACTCCGATGTTCCTACGACAGACTGGAGATGCAGCATCTTTTCTCAAAGCCGTTAGAAGGGGCCATTAAAAAATTATAATCGATGAAACTTAATTATATAAAATATTTCAATTAACTAGTTTCATGTCAGATTGACAGAACTGGGATGTTTTTCTTTGTTTGTTTATCCAGTAGTTGAGTAGGCCTACTGATTTTGTCTGTAAGTTTTACTAAATTTCTGTGATCTTTTGAAGGTGTGCGATGTACCGTTGCATAGCCTAAGAGTGCAGGAACAAGGCAAACTAGTCGCAGCAGGATCACATGATGGCACAACAACGTTACTGGAACTGTCTGAGGGGCTGTACACAATGGCTCGCAATGAGAAAAACTTGGTCACAGCAGTAAGTTTCACTATTTCTATACTTATCTTAAGTACTCTCTTTTTACAGATTCATGGTGTAGCGTTTATATATGCTTCTCTGGCTCTTGCAGAAGACCTGAGTTAAATTTCTGTGCAGAGATAATTTTTATTGAGAGTCTCGGTCTTTCTGCTGGGATGTTGTATTCCTCTCAGCCCGACAAGCAGTCAAAAACTGCATCCTAAATGGTCTATATCTATAATATTATATTTGGGAAAGTTCGTCACCTAGGCAGCCTAAAACTTCCCAACCACTTAACTTTCGAATTTAAAAAAATTAATAGTGGTTCAGAATCATTTAAAGGGTGCACAGTTTTATTGAGGAGTCTGAAGTCATTCTCACATTGATTTTACAGTCAGGTTTGATGTGAAATTTGATTTACTGGCAACAAGGTGTGCATGTAATGTGACCAATTGGAATCAACAGTTGTGCTGTAATATGTATCGGCATCAAACTTCATTGAGATCTCATAGAACAGTAAATAATCACTTCACTACACGCAAGTTAAGCCCTTTTACTTCTACAAAGTTGCATATTTTTTGTTTCATGATTTGATTAAGGTCAAAACTACTTTTTGACATTTAAACAAAATGGCACTCCATTCTTAATTGTTCTCTTAAGAGCCCTTAGTTTCAGTGTAAAGGAGATGCACATGCATACATAGTTTTCCATTTGTGTCCTTGACCTTAGCTCACATATTGAAGAGTCATTTATTGCCCTACTTTTTGCGTTTTCCTTGATACATATACATCAACTTAAATATTGTTTTAATGTTTATTCACTTGTATTTTGGGGTGTTTTTTTGTTAGATGTTTGAGAGGGAGACTCGAAGAGAAAAGATTTTGGACGCTCGACACAAAGAAATTCGTCTGAAAGAGAGAGGCAAGACTGAAGGATCAAAGGTAAATACACTGACGGACTTTAACTTAATTTGTTATGAATGTTGTAATGATATGGGACATAATCCATAATCCACCACAGTTGCTTGTCCATTATATTATCAGTTGTTTCCCTTCCATTGTAAAGTTCATAGTTGCTTTGTCGTGGCATTTCAAAACACCGCCCGGGCTTCTGAGTATTATCTTGGTCTTCTGTAGAACAGGTCTCGGCTCTAACTCAGCGAACGTCTCTGCCGTCATGATTGAGAAATCTGCACCCGTGTCAATCTTAAATTGCATTTTGTGTGTGCCGACAGCTACCTTTGTTTTCCATGGTGCTCCATTACTTTTAGTTTCTATTAACAGTAGGTATGCTTCTTCCTCTTCTTCATCTTCCACTTTTACTTCGTTGATTTTCTTTCTTGTGTGGCACATTTTGGCAAAGTGATTCTTCTTGGAGCATTCTGTACATGTTTTCCCATATGCCGGACATTGTCGTCTGCCGTGGGATCCCCCCACAGTACTGGCAATTACGCACGTCTTGCTGGCCACTGCTTCCTCCGCGTCCCCGCAGAGCGGATCCTCTGTGTGGTCCCCCTTGCACACTCCCATGTTTGAGGGTTCTCGATCCAAAGGATTGAATGGCATCGACATTTGGCAATCTTTGCTCTTTGATTTGAGCCTTTACTCTTTCTGTTTGTCTTGCCATAGTGATAGCTTTCTCAAGGGTTAAATCAGGCTCTAACTGAAGTTTCTCCGACAATTCTTTGTCAGTAATACCCAGGACTAGCCGATCCCTAATCATATTGTCCTTATCTGGGAAAGCTGTATGCTCAGAGAGTTCGTATATACTTCTGACGTATTCTTCTATGGTCTCTGTTTCTTTCTGACAACGTTTGTGGAACTGAGCTCTCTCATGAATTACATTTCGTTTTGGGCTGAAATACCCATCAAACTTGGTCAGAACTGTGTTGAAAACATTGCTATCATCCTGTGAGAGACCAAAGGTAGACAGAACCTTTTCTGCCTCAGGGCCCATTGCATATATATGAGGCTACTAACTTGGACTTCTTCACTTTTCTTCGTCAACTCAGACGCAGTCCTAAACCTAAGAAAAGTTTGTCTCCACGAAGCCCATGCTATTGATTCATGAAAGTTAAAATTAGCTGGTGGTTTGAAAGTCATGTTTCTTACCGTGAGGTTTCTCCACGTTATATCCTACTCTCGTGTGGTTCTTCTGTCTCACTCACTCACTTCCGACACCATGTAGCAAGGTTCCCTTCACCAGTCAAAATGGCCCAAAAACTACTAGAGACACAGACACAGCTTTATATAGACCCCAGACCCTTTGTTCTCAGAAGCCCTGAATCTCAAGACAATGTGAGAACTGCTCATGGAGTGTTTACAATGAAAGGGAAACAACTGATAATATAATGGACAAGCAACTGGAGTGGATTATGGATTGTGTCCCATATCATTACAGTCCCATATCACTACAAATGTTAAAACAGATCAATACTTAACTCATTGAGAGAGAGAGAGAGAGAGAGAGAGAGAGAGAGAGAGAGAGAGAGAGAGAGAGAGAGAAAGAGAGAGAGCAACTATTAATCCTTGGAAGTGTGCACCGTCTCACCGGAAGTAAATCAAATTCCCTGACGCCAAAGCAAAACATGGGGGTTTGGTAGGAGTATCAGCTGAGATTTTTACGTTCTACTGAATAACAACCATTTACAGCTCAACAGATGAGAAAAGATATATAATATATACATATATATAAAAACATATTATCTTTTCTCATAGCCTTAGAATGGGGCATGAAAAAATTATAATCAATGAAACAATTACAAAGCACAAAATGCAATGAAGCGAACAGTTAGCAAAGTAATATAGTGGAACAAGTGATAACACATAATGTGTAGTTGTTCAACAGGATGGCATCACTTTATCAATCAATGTCTTGGCCAAGGAATGCACTACAAATTCAAAAGAACTTGCAAACTCATTGGTCAATATTTTAACTTTGACCTCCAACTTACTACATCATTTACCATGTAAGGAACACAGAAATTTTCCATAAAAGGAAGGTCAGGGTCTATGCCTTTCACTACCTTATTATTACAAAGTTCTTTCTTACATTTTTGGCCTCACTAAGACCATGAGGCCAGAGACCAAATGTTCTATCTGCTCTATCAAAATCGTAAGATTATTTGGAGTTGTTACCAAGATTTTCAAAGAATTGCAATAAAAAAGCTTGACATGTTGTGAAGCTCAACATTTTTAATGTCAATGGCAGATTTCTGAAACTAAGTACTGAGCAGATAAAACTTTGTAATTCTAGGGTAGTGCTTTATATAAGGCCTGCACACTTCCTGGTAGAAGTAGGGCAGACTTATAAAAAGGGCCATCATGTTTCCTAGGTAGCCCAGCTCACACTCTCCGTATGCAGGGCCGTCACATTTCCAGGGTTAAAGTCCGCTCCTTAACAATGATTTTTCTGTGAATTTGATCACACTTATTTGCCTGTCAATAACAGTTATATAGCAGGTATTTCGCCATACAGGTAGATGACAAAGGAGATCAAAAGAAAGCAAAACTTGAAAAAGAACATGGTAAACAAGATGAAGCTGCCAAGGTTAATGCTCTTGTTTTTAGTGATGGAAAATTATTGTTGCTTGAAAATTATTGCTCCAGAATTGTTTGTGTTTACAGAATTCCTCTTGTTACAGATTTGTTGTGGTTGAAGTTGAGGTTTGCAATTATGTTTGTGTTTGGATATTATGTAATGGATGAAGAATGCATTGCAAACTTTTACCAATTTTCTAAGTATGTCGTTAAAGTGTTGACATGATGTGTTTTTTTGAATGATGAAATTGTCAAAATATATGTGACGCCCTTCCATTATTTTCCTTCATATTAATATGACAATGCCAAAACTGTCCAGTGTGTTCTATTTGTTTCACTTTTCAATGACAAATAGAATTAGAGTAATTAGATGTACAGACTTTGAAAAAAGTTTAAAGGATCTGGGAAGATGAATTCAAACTGTAAGCTTATTTGTATGCCTGTGTATTTTAACGGTGTTCAAGTGACCTATCATCAGGATTTGTTAAATCTATCATGTAGCCTTGTTGGAAATTCAAGTGCTCGTCGAAATAATGAAATTGAAGAAAATAACATTTTTCCACCCGATAGGCAGCTTTTATCAATTTTTTTGTTTGAGGCTGAATGCCTTTTATGTTCATTTCAAAATATAGTCCTGTATATTTTATTGAAAAACATTGATCAAAAGCTCAAAAAATATAAATCTTCAGTTTCCAAGATTTCTCAAGCTTTGGAAGTCACCAAACTTGTCAACCAAATTTCTTGCTAATTTTACCTGTAACACCTTCAATTGCAAAGATCTTGACTTTTATTCATGATCATAATCATTATTTTTCTCACCCTGCACCAGGGTATAGGCCATGAACAAGCACGTTCCACCTTTCTCTATCCTCTTGATCTTATCCCATGTCTTCCCACTTTTCTGTAAATACGATATATTTGTTCCCCCGAGCTGAGCTGCTTCTGTCCAGACTGTATCCAATGGGTTTTTGCTGACTCCTAATATGTGCAGCTGTATCTCTTCATCTCTTGTGATACTTAAGAATTCTTTCCTACTTCATTCGTGGTGCGAACGCTCCGCGACACAATCCGGAGAGACTTGTTCGACAGAGAAGGTGTCTAGTCAGAAGAGTCCTTTAGGCTTTGCTATTTAAGATAGATGAGTATTTAAAAAAAAAATTATCCAGATAGATGAGTATTTTAAAAAAGAACCAAAAGCAAAGCAAATGAACAGGCTTTAAGATTATAACAATAATTCAGGATGCCCCAAAACTGATGAGTGCCTGATTGCACCGCACTTTGACACCATTTTATTTAAAAATAAGGAAAACAAATTTTAGTTTATGATATCTTGTTCTGTAAATTTACCTCTCATGATCTTGTTTTACCATTTCAAATCGGGCTGATTTGCTTTCACATGTTTGGTGAATGTAATTTTTTGAATGGTTCATTTTTTTCTTGCCACATAGGCCGAAGGGGAGGATGGAGAGAGGACTAAAGAAGAAGAAGAGCCTTTTGAAGAAGAGAATCTGTACGAAAAGGCAGAGACAGAGTTTTTTAGCATCATTGAAGCAGAGAAGAAAAAACAACCAACTCCAAGTCAAGATTTTGCTGAAGTCGAAAAAAATGTGAGAAATACTTTTTGAGGGATTTTAGACACTTTTTGCTTTTGATTTTGTCTGCAATAAACTTCATTTGCATCAAACACAAGGCAAATGCATAAGCTTTCAGATGGTACCTATAACTCCAAATGCCCAACATTTGCCTTGTGTTTGATGCAAAATATACTTTTAGAGTGATCGATGTTGTTGGTAGGTGCCTTTTGATTCTTTTGTGTCTTCATGGTCATTTTTTAAACCAAATATGTCGGTACCACTCCCCTCCCTCCTCTCTCTCTCTCTCTCTCTCTCTCTCTCTCTCTCTCTCTCTCTCTCTCTCTGTCTCTGTCTCTGTCTCTCTCTCTCTCTCTCTCTCTCTCTCTCTCTTTGTCTCTGTCTCTGTCTCTCTCTCTCTCTTTCTCTCTCTCTCTCTCTCTCTCTCTCTCTCTCTCTCTCTTTCTCTCTCTCACACACACACACGCACACACACACACACACACACACACGCACATAAATGGGCATACATGCTCACACTCAAATGCACACTCGCTCACAAATATTTATAAACAACAATATTTAACAAGCATGTCTTTGGATACTGACACACTGGCTCTTTGATTAGTCATATTTGTTTGTTTTTTAAATTCAAACTCAAAAATTGTCTCTCTCTATAAGCAATACTTTTTGATACGCAAAGAATAGTCATAATTAACTCTTTCCGGACGTATCACAGACATATCAGCGCGAGTCCACACCCCTTGCGGACGTTCCGCCGATATATCAGCTGTGATAGGGTGCCTCAGTATTGTTTCGTTTTAACATGATCCGTCATTTATAAATTTTACTTTTTATTGTTATTGAAAACTTGGAAAGGGTTTAGGAAACGAAAACATCTAGTTTCACTTTGTCAAAGCGTGGGTTGGGGAAAAACGAGTGAATCAGTTCTTGGGGTCTTGCATCAACAAAACGATGTAACCGGACTCAGTATAGATATCATAACTCTAACAAAAATTGGAATATTGCTTTCAAATAAAAAGCTGCGCATTCAGAAATTTATAGATTATGCTCTTGGCCTGTATTTGATAAGATAGCAATGCTGATTTGCTTTCACTTGTATGGTGAATGTAATTTTTTCAGTTAAAATTTCTTATCACCATCACCATTTCTAACCTTTGTAATGCAACTCTCGTTTCGTGTTGGAATGTATTCCTCATTCAATTTCCTTCCATTTCATTTATCATATGTTACGTTTTGAGTGATGGTTATGTTTATATAAAGTTATTTTGTACACCACCTGTGTAGCCAAATCAAGCCACAAGTTAATTACGTCTACACCCCCCAAAAAACTACGTCCGGAAAGAGTTCAATAATATGATAAGTGTTTTGAAATGTTTTGAAATGCAAAGCTGTTGTGATTATGAACTATGCGTATTGAACAGGACATGGAAATGGAAATTCAAAAAGATGACACATTAAAAATATTCACTGGGAGTCCTGATGAGACTGAAGGCTCAAATATTAAAACAGATCAAATGAATAAGAAAAACATTGACGGGCAACTAAAGGTAACTTTTCTTTTTGTCTCTGGATGACTTTTTAAATCCTGGTTCGTTGAGAATCAGTTTATTCATAAATGTCGTTTAGTTTCAGCCTCCTTCGAACTTGGGTTGTTTTTTTTTGTTACATTTTATTTCTTTTGTTGCTACCATGTGGTTCCTGTGACCTACTTGTTATACTTCATTTTTAAAATTTACATCATTATTGTCTTAGTCTACTTCCTAGAAAAAATATGATGATAATAAAAAGTAACAAGATTATGACAATATGCATCTCGATCTGTAGTATGCCAAGAAACATGTTCTGACAAAGGAACACAAACACAAACTGACAATCACTGTGGCTGCTGATCACACTTGTTGTTGGAAGAACAATCTAACTAGCTGGTAAAATAAGATTGTGGCTATTATCTTGTTGACTCACTAGTGACTGCAGCTCAACCAATGTGGAGGTCCAGTATACTCGTTACTCCTATAGAGTTCACTCACAGTTACACTTTGCTCCTGTTGTATTGATATTATTAGGTTTCGTTCTATGGGTTGCCTATGCTCCTACCAGTTTGTTGTTAGGAATACATCAATGAGACTAAAAACTAGCCACTCTTTTATGGGGCTCGTCTAGTAACTGTTTGTCCAACTCTTGAAAATTTTGTTCAAATATTTTACGCACTACCTACATCGTTATTAGAGATTAAAAACTTTATGCTGAGCACAAGTAATTTTTTATTTCTGTATATTATGCAATACTCACAGGTATTGCCTTCATGATGGGGGTATGTTTAAAAGAGGAATGGACTTAAGTGGTGAAAGAACATTTCTTTTACTACTACTAATTGATACATTACTCTGTAGAGTAGCTGAAGAGTTGTTATATCATGCTCTTTCCAAATCTTTTTGAAAATATAACCATAATCTTTTTTTTACAGAATGAGGGTGAGACCGGTGATGAAGAAAAGAGCAATGGAGAGCCGGTGAGTGGTTTGTCAATAACATCTGCTTGGTCCTCATCTGTTTTGAGGAAAATAAGCTTTCATTATCATTGTAGAAGTTTTATAGATGTTATAAATTTTTGTTATTGAGTGTAGTTTGAACTCAATGACTTTATTATAGTGATAAATGTAAGCTTGGGATTGATTACATACATCCAATTTCCAAACATAGTTAATCTGAAAGGATTAATATACAGCCCAAATACAGTAACTATCTTCCTTACAAGGAGATTTCAAAGAAAAATACAGTAACATTTATGTCACGATGCGGTGGAATCGGGCGCTCGTCAATTTTTGGGTATGTGGAGTTATAGGTATCATCTGAAAGCTCTTGGGGGCAGCTAGTTGCCTTGTGTTTGATGCAAAATATACTCATTTATCTTGAATAGAAGTGGAGATATTTGTAATTGAACAGTGGGGGGGGGGGGGGGGGTTGGGGGGTGGAGTTCACCTGGTTTCAGAGGTAAAATTACAAGAAAATGACTGTTAAAGTTTGGAACTTTCAATTGCATGAGAGTCCTTGAATACTGAAAATTTACGTATTTTGTGCCTTTAATCAACCTTTTTCAGTAAAATTCATATGAAAATGTGTTGTTATACAGACATTAAAAGTGTTGGGCCAAAAAACAAAATTTGGCCCCCCAAAAATGGCGAAACTTGTGGAAAAATGCCTGTTTCTTGTATTTCATTATTTTGATGAGCGCCTGATTTCACCGTACAATGCCTCACGCATTATTTTTTGCTGCATTTTTTTCTTCTTTAAATTCTCAATAAGGTCATTTTGATTAAAAATCGCCTTCTGTATGATTCTGTGAGATTGAAGGATTGGAAGCAGGATAGATGAGGATTGAGCTTTAGATGGCTCTCAACATTTGAGATGAAAGGGAAAAAACATTCGTTTTGCCTTTTGCTCCCAGGGTAATGCTACTGAAGTATGCCTCATGTGGTGTTTTCAAGAGAACCCCCTCCAAACCCTTTAATCCATATAATATATTTTATTTCGGTAGGGTCGACCTATGGATCACTTTTATGAATAAACCATGCACTCTTAAGACTTTGCAGTCACACAGCCAGCAGTACAAAATACCCCTTCTATTCAACCAGCCAGGAGAGCGCTGCAGTGGACTTCTTGGGCCTGGCGCATGCGCCAGGTGACAGGAACAGTTAATTTTCACCATCGCATTATTGCGCTAAGTGACCGCAAAGTGTAAAGCCCTCAAAATTTTAACAAAGGTAGAATTCAGTATTCCAAAGAGCATGACAGAGCTTTATATTCATGATTTTGAGTTTAAGAATTTACAAAATTGTAGGTTTCGTTTGCTGTCATGTAGCATTATGTTTAAGCGTAAAGTTGCGTGGATAAATGCAAATCAAGTGTGTGTCAGTGGCACAACGTTTAGGGAGTGGTCACAGAATCAACACATGATAAACCTTGCTCAAATACAGGGCACTCTACTGTGGCAACCTGTAGTGATAGAGAGCGAAAGATCATGTCAGTTTGTCAGTGTTTTAGCTGCCATCTGCATACACTGTATGCTTCCTACCTGAGAAGTGTGGATAGATTTCCGAGCGTTCTAGGATCTGCTGGGTTAATAGTAGTTGTAAAGTGCATAGAGCATGCTGTAGAGTGTGGATATGTGCCGTATGAGAATGCAAATATTATTGTGAAAATGTGTAGTATTCAAAGTATATGAGCATTATGTACACCATTGGTTGTTTGAGACATTTTTCTCTTGGTTCAACCTAATTTTCTTCAGTCGTAAACAAATTAACCATGGGGGTAGATTAAGAGGAAAAAAAAAGAAAAATGAACCGGTAGAGATATTCTGAAAAAGTGCCTGCGAGACTTGTCAATTGGTCTTGACTGCAATGGCAGTCAAAAGCAATGCTTGATGCTAATATGTGCTAAAGGCATGGGAGCGGCTAGTTTCACTATAATTTTATTGTTTCTTACAGGAGACTGATACGAAAAAGGATTAGGTCGTCCATACTGCTTTCCAGGAAGACACATTTATGAGGGCACAGGAAAAAGTCATGGAAAAACAGGTTGCAAGAATCTTTTTCTTGAGCTGAGACTGTGAACAGAATGCTTTGTTTTTTGTACTGCTATTTTGCTTATCACATGGCTAAACTATGCTGTTGATTTTTGGGTTTACGGTTTACGCTAAACATACATGAGAAATTGACTGGTTTAAGAGGTGTAGAAGGTTTGACTTGCTGGTTTGAAAAAAAGAATTTATCTGTACCAACATTATGTATGTGCCTCTTATGCTTTTAAAATGGGAATTGCTGAGCTCTTTTGACACACATCTGATTCTGAAACTGAAATGATTTTTAAACTGAAATGATTTTAAGTTATAAAAGCAGTATTTATTGACTTGTACTGAATAGTTATGCTCCGATTTCAAAGGTACGCTGGTGTACTCATTTTTCTTAAATTTTTCTTTCAGAGCCCATCATTTATGGTGATTTATTTAGTATGAAACGTATAAAAGATTCAGAGCAACAAATAATCTACAGTCACTAGAAAGAAAAGGCCATATGTATGTTCCAAATGTGAAAAATCCATTACTCATGCTGAGAAGTTGATATTTTTAGCTGCTTTCTGATTTGAATGTAGAGAAGAAAGCCTGCTTCAAGTTTTCATGTGTCAAATTATGCATGTTCGTTTAAAAGATAAGAACTTTATGTATTAAGATTGTGCATAATGTCAGCCTATTTTCATCTTTCAGTCTGAAAACATTACTGTTAGCTGTGGGAGAAATAGCGAAGAAATATTGATCCATATATGAAAAATAAAATGTACACGACCCTGATATAACTGTTTTTATATTTGAGTACCAAATATACCAAATAATTGTGTTCATTCTGCATTGAATGATAGTAACAATTCGTTAAATTCATTATAATAATATATATACAGGTGTGGTAATAACAGGGATCCGGTAATAACCGGAATTTTTTTAAATCCCTGTTTTTTCCTACTCTTTGTCTCTCTATTAAAAGTTATCAGCAATAACAGGGCCTCATCGGAGCCCAATCAGTTATAGCAGGGACTAGGCTTGTTAACAATGTGTAAAAAGTGAGAGAGAGAGGGAGAGAGAGAGAGAGAGGGAGAGAGAGAGGGAGAGGGAGAGAGAGAGAGAGAGAGAGTAGTGCAGTGATATAGCAAGCCCATGAAAGCCACGCCACTACAAGCACACGCTGTGGGTGAAGTGAGAGAGGTCTGTGATGTGCTGCAGACTATGATCTAGCCTTAAGCCTAGCTACACGCACGCGTAATGTGTCTTGCGCAGGCCTGCCACAAGGCCAAAATCCCTAATCGTGGGTACTTGTGGCAAATGAAACTACCCATGAATAAATACAGCTGGATTAGTCCACAAATATTTACTTCCCTTGCATTTCTGATTTACAGGGATCTGATATAACAGGACTTTTTCTCTTGTCCCACCATCCCTGTTATATCAGGTTTCCACTGTTGGCCATTATATACAGTCGAGTAGTTGAACCTGTGTAAGGCGGAATTGCCAGGGAGTCAGAAAAACTGTTTGACCTACAAAGGAACAAATTTGGGTCAAACTATGAAAAATTCAAAGTTTTGATTTATTACTTCTTTGATTTGAATGTGATATTTCATATTTGTATCCCTATGGAAAAGTGCTTTAATAATGTTTTGGAAGCAAGTCTTTAGGGTGTTCCAAAAATTGCCCTGAGAGTGTACGCTATACCACAAAAATTACATTTTCCCTAGTAGGGTAAATTTGATTTTCTGTTGTTTGACAACATAGACAAATTATACAGTGCGAAAAGCTTGGGTTTTGAAGATTCTGATTATCGAAGAGTTTCTTCTATACAAGTAAAAAAGATCGACTACTCGGAAGAGGAATCCCCCTATGCAAATGCACTTTCTTTGTTTTGATTAGGTTGGGTAACCATGTGGTTGGCCTAATTTTTTCCGTTCTCATTTGCAATCTCAAAGTTGTTGTTCGGCCAGCTCTGGCATCTCGGCGCTTGTGCAGTGAAAACGGAAAAAACTTTTCTGTGTTGCCCTGCTTGATTGGCAAAGTTCACTAATTCCGTTTTCCCTTCTCGGATGTAAGCAAAAGAAGAAGAGGCATTAGGAGATAAGGAAAAGGAAGAGAAAAGAGGGGAAAATCTATGAAGGTGGTGGATTCCTTGGTGGCATCTAAGACATCATTGCTGTTGTTGCTGTGATTGTTACACTTTATTCTTAAGAGTTTATTTTTGGGTCTGTTTTTGTGTGTAGAGTACTTGTGAAAGCTTTCTTTGACTTTGAAAACCATTTTTCTCAAAAATCATGATTTTGATTGGGTGACAAGACTAAAAACAGCTGTTCTCAAAAAGTATTCAAGCTAGAGCCTTCAAATTTTCAGTGGATTAAGATAAGACGTTGTTGTATGTACAGATTGTTGTTGTTGTTGTTGTTGTTATCGACCCAGCAACGGCTGGGCTCTCGCCTTTCTGTCCAATGCCATGTCGAGCAACAAAAAAAAAGGGCTCTATTGTGAGTCTATACCTTGGTTATGTCTGATCTTCCCTTGAATATAATAGCAATAGCCGGCTCACTATGTGCAGTACAACTACTTGCAACACCCTTGACAAGGTCCAAAATAATGCCCTTCGTTTCATATGGTGACATGAGATCCACACCTACCGCTGCAGGTGAAATCCTTTCAAATGTTGAACTCCTGGGAATCCGCGGAGATAAAGCAGTTTTGGAGCTACATGACATAACCAAAAGAATGTGTCTCAACCACCCAAACAGGAAATTAGTAGAAACATGGAAACCAAAGAAACGAATTAAACAAAATTCAATCATGCATCACATCACAGAACCAATAGAGAGTCTACCACATCTACCACAAAACAGAAAAAGAAATCAAAAGAGTCAACCAAAACATCCCTACCCATCATTTTTTTTAAAGCCAATCATTACAACATCTCTCAGTCAGAGACAATAACACAAAATGTTCAGACCCAGTGACGCTGCTCACGGTGAATCAACCCTACAAACAATGATGGACCGTCCATCAACAGCATGCAAGGTCTTCAGCTTGGTCACCAGTGTTTAGAAAGCAGTCATCCTTACTCAGGAAGGTGCAGACCAGGGTCATATTTGGCTGAACGACAAGGAACTTGAGACAGTGGACAAGTTCTGTTACCTGGGGTATCAGCTCTACTACTACATCACTTGATGATGAGATCAACTGGGGAAGCAGCAATAATTTTTGAAAGGCGACAAATCGAGCACTGTCCACCTATCTTTCTTTCCGATCTGTCGACCGAAGGTCCCGTCCAGCAAAATATCGACCCCAAATCCCCGCAACGCGAGGCACCCTGTTGACCGTGGGGTGCGACCCGTACGACCGGAGAAGAGGATCCTGGTGGCTGAGGTGTGGCTTTCCTCACCAACCCGCCATTTTGGCCCTGGATTCGGTCTAGACGGGCGGGTGCAGCGGCCTACTGCTCTCAATCGGTTGCGACCGGTTCATAGAACCGGTTTTTAGCTAATCTTGGTTGGAAGGCGAGATTTCTTGCCGTCCGATTGGGTGTATACCTCTAGGGTAGCCCTGACACCAGCTATGGACTTCCGAGCGGTGTCCCCTTGTTGGACTCGGTGGCGGATGGGGAGCCTTGGAGATGAATAAAACCAATAATACGGATCCAAAGACAAAAATTTCTCCCCCTACCCCTATTCCCAACCAGTCCCTGTCAGGAGGAGCGGATGCGAATCCTGAACCGGGCGAACGAAAAAGTTTAAGAGAGGACGACAATGTCAGTATCTGGGACCTGCCTAGACAAACATCGCTAGGATGGTCACCTTATTTGGTGATCTCCTCAGCCGATGAGTCACAAAAAAGATAACATCTTTAAGCGTCTTTGCCATTGGCAAAGCTTTCAGAGCCTGTGGCATCCCCAGACCCAAAAAAGTCCCCCCCCCCATGGCTTTGGCGACCTCTTGGTGGAGGTTGCCAACGTGGCCGATTCCGTACAGTTACGGAAATGTACATCGTTTGGCGGCATCCCTGTAAGTGTTGAGCCTCACAGGAGTCTCAATACTTCCAGGGGTGTTGTAAAGAGCCGTGACCTGGACGGCTGTACGGAGGAAGAAATGGTGTGAGAACTTGAAGGCGTCACCCACCCTCGTCGTGTCATAGTGCTGCGAGATGGGAAAGAGATCCGCACCAACACTTGGATACTGTCCTTCGACTGTCCAAGACCTCCCAAATTGACAATAGAATACTCGGAACTAGCGATAAAACCCTATATTCCAAACCCGATGCGTTGTTTTAATTGCCAGCGCTTCGGGCACACTAAACTAAAATACCGACGAAATGCTGTTTGCCCTCGCTGTGGTAAGGAGGGTGAATCCGAGGAATCCTGTACGTCAGTTTCTCGGTGCCCAAATTGCTAACAGGGAGGACACCCAGCATATTCAAAGGACTGTTCCAAGTATTTACAAGAAAAAGCCATCCTGACCCACCCGAGCGAAGTTCGGAGGCACCTTTGCCCAGGCTAAGGCAGCAGTCTTCCCGATGGGATTAGAATCAACACAGAAGACGAACGCAAAGGCAGGCCCCAAAACAGCTGACAATGGAAAAAACCCGGTAAAATTCCTAAACGTTAAAACACCATGTGTGTCCAACAGAAGTCAAAACCAAAAAAGCGCCACGACAACCCGGAGGACATGGAGTATGGAGCGCTCCCTCCACTCATCCCCTCCAAAATCTCTCTCATCATCTTCACCCCCAACACCCTTGCCATCTCCACCTTCATCCTCACAATCATCCTCATCCTCACCACCATCCTCATCCTCTCCTACATCATCCTCACTCTCATCCTCATCCTCACCACGCTTATCTTCATCCCCACCACCCTCACCACCTCCATCCCAACCCCCTTCATCCAATAAAGCCCCTCCACCCACTCCTCGCACCCGCTCCCACTCCTCTACCCGCATCTGGGACTCCGGTCCTCCTCCCCCTCCACACTCTCCTTTAAAAAAAGCTGAGGTCCACCGTGACCGCAGCCAAACCAAACAGACACAATGGTCACCTACGACCAAAAAGAAATGTACCGAACCCGTGCCCTCCAAATAAATAAAAATGGCAGTTCTTCAGTGGAACATTCGCGGTTTGCGTGCAAACCAGACAGAACTCTCCCATCTTTTGACCTCACACACCCTTGATGTTATCTGTGTACAAGAAACTAAATTTCCATGCCCTAGTAAGATGGGAGGAAAGTGACGGTACAATCGAAGACCCAGTGTCCAAAATATGTCATGAGTGCGCTAGATATAGATCATTGAGACATTAGGCCGCTGTCCTGGGAAACGAGCTCTGCTGAAAATCAATGCTGACAGTAGGAATGCATACCCTCTGGCAACGAAAGGGTTAAAGTTTTGCTGGAGCTGCACATGTTATCAAGCTTAATAGGGGAGAGTGGTAGAACTCGCCCATGGGGAGAACTAGTCCACCTCTCAAAATTGACAAATTTGCAGCCAAAGCCCAACTCAGATAGGCCCTAATAATAAAACTCACTTTTGTCGTTTTCCTTGCAGGAGAGATCTAATTTAATCTAAATGAAAATCAAGTTTTGTTTCCTTTTGTGCACATGCTGGGACACTGTGAAGTGCTTCGTGATTTTGACGACCAAAATCAATTAGATTCTATTCAACGGGCAGTTCAAACTGAATGTATTGATTATTCTTCGTTCAAAAATCAGATACGCTCATTTTATACTGAACAACACACTCTGCGATAAAATAATCCTATAATCACCTACCTGCACTCATC